GTTGGCCACTCACTATGAAATTTTCATAAAGATATATGTCTTACTTTCTATAGCTATATATGCTACCCATGTATATTTTATAAATTAGTTATTAATTTGACATATTAAATTATTTTTTCTTACATAAATTTCTTCTTTGACTTTTTGGATTATGTAATCACTATGTCACCATCCTAACGTAGAAAGGACCTTACTCTAATTGACTCTAAGTCAATGTTTGAGTTGAACTAAAGTATATACTATTACTATTATATGTATATATTTTTTAAGAAAATCATATCAACACTTTTTAAACGGAAGAGAATATTCTAACATCTGATATTATAAAAACTAAATATATCCAATTGAGTGATTAGCAAAAGAGAACTCACATCAGAAAAGCATGAATAATAAGATAAAGAGAATGTAATGACATTGCCAACAGTACTAACAATGGCAAACTACAATATAAAGTTAACTTATTTGGTGAAACCTAACTACTGGCTATAAGCATTAAAGTTTTATATATGTACTTTATAATTTATTAAAAATGGCCATATAATCTTATATAATAAAATTAATTTACTACTAAATAGTAACATCGTTGTAATAATATCATTATTAGGGAAAATTCTTCATGAACCAGTATGTTCTTTACGATATATAAGCTATACACTCCAAATTCTTGTGTCTTTTATAAAGCCAAAAAATTTGAATACGAGCCTCTAACATTTTGCTCTCACAACAACAAAATCCATTTAACAAATGTGGATATTCCAGATATATACAATAAAATTGTCCTAGGCAAGTAAATTATGATAGCATTTTTTATTCACATTGACCGGGACAAGATTAAATAGGGACCTTGCATCAAAGAAAAAATAATTTTTATATTTAGAGCACATGGCAAAATATATTATAATCTCTCTGCTCTAATTTCCCAAGAAAAATATTTTTTTTATACTTTCAGTTTTACTTCTATGATACGAAGAATGGGCTATAAAATTAAATGAGAATATTAGATAATTTAAATATGAGTAAAACCACAACTAAAAATTAATGTGAATATGACCACAAGTAAAAGTTTAATGGATATATTACAAATAAATTTATATGTAAAATTCCTTTGCGAATTGAATGATCACTCATCTTTTGAAGACTTCAAGATACTAACGAAAAAAGATATTATACTAGATCAATGTATTTATAACTCATAAATAGTAGATCACGTGGTCACATTCTGTGTTGAAGGAAACAATGACAATATTTCATTTGAGAGAGAGATTATTGAGTTGATGATCAAACCCACAAAAACCTTTGTTTTCTTTTTTATTTTTATTCTATTTTTATCAATTTAAATAATCATGATATTCAACCACGTGTATTGCACGTGCATCTCAACTAGTTTAGAAAAAAATCTCACTTTATTGATAATTGATTGACGTATGAGTACTTTTATTTATAGATAGATGATAAAGGACTGAATTAAAGTCAAAATACTAGGTATGAAATAAGGAGGGATACGCACCACCAATTATAGAAGATATGGATCATTCCATACTATGTTTATCATATATATACTACTATTTTAGACATATCTGACTACTATACACACTACTATTTTAGACATATGTTTAATATATATACTGTATGTTCAATATATACTATATTTATCATACCTAGTACATGCTTAATTTAAAACGCCAATCATATACTTCTAGGCGTATATTTGATATCCATCTTTTGAATTTTCTTGGACAATGATCGAATTCATATCAGCATATACTCAATTGGTAGCTATGATTTTAGAGCATCTAATTCAAAAATGAACATTTTTTTCCATTCATAATATACATAATAAATAAGCACAAAAATGTTACATGAATTTCGACTCATATAACTCACATAACTTATTAATTTCAATAGACATATATAGTCGAAGTATCTTATAAGCTAGCTTTTCTATATTTACGTATTTGATAACTTTCCAAATAAGTCAGCTTTTAAACCACATTTATAAAATTGGGGGTTCCCCAACATGTGAAAACTAGCTTATAAGTTTCTTTTATTTTTCTTTTTTTTTAATAAGTCAATTCTATCCAAAAAATTATTATAAATTTATTATGATAAATCCATAAGTAACCAAAAATTAGGAAAAAAACAGCTTAGCTTATAAGCATCAAAAGGATAAACCCTCCAAAAAACCATGAAAAATGCAGAAAGTTTTAAGTCTTAACAGGTCTAGTGTTGAATGGTTGGAGAAAGAAGAGATTAGAGAGAATTCTCGTGCAGTGCATAGGCATAAAAAGTCTAAATTTTATCACATAACAATCACGTGATATCTACAACTTCTAAATTTGAAAGCGAAACTTTTATTATTATTCATGCTACAGTAAACAATATTCTTATAATTGTGTGATTCTGAATAATAAAAGTAAGGTTCATCCTATAGTAAAATTTTCACCTTAGCCTTAGCCATATCGTTTGCATTTAATGATTTTTTTTTTCTCACAAACATTGTGCATGTACAGTGTAATTTTTGAAACTTAAACATGCACTATATGCTACAGTGAATTTTTTGGCCCTTTATCCACTGTTCAAGCTGAAACTGAAGAAACATTTTTTTAACCTTGAAAATAGTACTCTTTTTTTTTTGTTCTTGCAAAACAATAAATTTAACCTTTACCAAACATTTCATAAATATAAACCTTTTATGGCTCTATTATAGAAATTTGATAAAACTTACTAATTGGTGTATTATTTTGTTAACTGGTTCAAAAATTCACTTTGTAAATAATAGTAAAAAAATTATTGATGAAGTTTTTATAAATATTTCTATATATAAAATCCATATTATCAATTTAACGACAGATTTACCTTGGTAAATAATACCCGTAGCAACGAGCGGGCTTAACACATAGTGTAATTTGAATAGAAACCTAAATGATTAGTTGAAGGAGTGTATTGAAGTTAAATCTTGGGGAAATGTGGGGTAATTTTTTGGGGGAAAACACCATAGTATCAAAATTAAAATTCAGTAATACTTAAGATTACTAAAGTGCAACCCTAAAGTTTATAATGACCAAATATGCAGAAAACAAGGAAAGTCGAGTAAGCCCACTAGATTTAACACCCCGCACACAGCCGCAAGTACTCCCCATGTCCTAAATGATCCTTCAATTGGGATTTTCTTTCTTGTTCAATAAGATGAACAGCTTCAATTTGCGATCATAATTATAATCTGCTGGCAACCAACTTCACCAAATCTCTGAATAGTATTATGAGAACTTGGGATAACAGATTGCTGCTCTTTGTTCTATGTTATCTCAGGAAAAGGATGAGTTAAGGCTTGGATAACATTCATACTTTGTTCAAGTTAAAACTTCCTTTTGGTGCCTCCCAGTCCCAGCTAGAGATTAACTTCAGCACAATCAAACGTCAGGTTTTTGGCCATGACATCTTTTGGCTCAAGGAAATTAGGAAGCATAATCTCCTGACAAAAGATCAAGTCTATGATTAAACTTTCATCGGAACGTAACGAGTATTGAAACTTTGGCTCGAACGGAAAGTAGCACGCACAATCTAAGATAACAAGGCCAAGAATCCTAGTGGTGTATCCTAAAACCAAAACAGTACCATCAAAATCTTTGTGCGCTTGAATTCAGTGGGGTTGCCACACTGAGATTCCAATTTCTCACCGACAGCCATTTTAATGTGGAGGGTGGATCACTTCATCTAGCAATCACCCATAATCAGATCACAGAGAGTTGACTACAAGATTGAGGAGTATTTAACTAAATAGCAACATGGAGAGTATTTAACTAAATAGCAACATGGAGAGCAAGTTGACAGCCAGAATATGTATGACATTCAAAATATAGAGCAGGAAACCTAGTCGGGGCTATCATGTTCTGAGTGCATGCTGATGATTTAAGCTCGGTTGCATGCAAAACTCAACTGGTACAAGAAGATTTCTAAAAGTGAAGTCCACCAATGATGAGCACAGAGATTCGAGGTGAATGGACGTTTCGACAGTTGGAACATGTCTGCTTCTAACAGTTAGGCATACATGTGCTCTGGTGCTAACCACAAACTCAACTGGTACAAGAAGATTTCTAAAAGTGAAGTCCACCAATGATGAGCACAGAGATTCGAGTTGAATGGACGTTTCGACAGTTGGAACATGTCTGCTTCTAACAGTTAGGCATACATGTGCTCTGGTGCTAACCACAAACTCAACTGGTACAAGAAGATTTCTAAAAGTGAAGTCCACCAATGATGAGCACAGAGATTCGAGGTGAATGGACGTTTCGACAGTTGGAACATGTCTGCTTCTAACAGTTAGGCATACATGTGCTCTGGTGCTAACCACATAATGAATATGAACAAGTTCAAGCAGAAAAAGTATAAAATTTTCATTTTTTTTAAAAAAAAAGAAAAAGAAAATTATTAGACCCTGCCACTACACAGAATTTCGAAGTTATGGTGAGTTTTGAGGGTTGCAACTTTATATTCTAACATACCAGCGTTCTTTTCATAGGCCGAAACCTGGCCTTACATAGAGGTATAATTTATTTTCTTTAAAAAAATCGCTTTAAGTTTGTAGCCGGTGGAAATTGAATCTGGATTTGCTTTGGTACAATCTAAAGAACCCTGCAACCAGACTAAAACTTCAAAGTTATGGTGAGGGTCAGGGTTATAATTCTATATTCTAAAATATTCCTCTTTTTCAAGTATCATGAACAAATATGAACAAGAAATTACACCCATAACCCTTTGGCTTGCTGTGAGATCACATGGAAGACAACTCATAAGTAGACGTATTTCCCCAGACACCACACTAATAAAGCTTTGCTTTCCCTAATACTTCAAAGTGCAGGGGAACGTTAAAATATTTCTCTTCAAGTCCAAGGTGCAAATCTTCACTCTTTTCTCTCTATATAAGCCCCATCATTCCCTCTTGCTACCCCCCACAACTCATACAAAGAAACCATAAAAAAGAGAGAAAAAGAGGGGAAAACATGACCATGATCACAGAAGAGCTGAAGGCCAAGGCAGAAGTGTACTACGGCATGAAACCTGCCAAAAAAAAGTTTTTGCTCCAAGAGGTAGGGTTACCAAGGGGGCTCCTCCCATTGAAGGACATTTTAGAGGTTGGGTATGTGGAGGAAACTGTGTTCGTGTGGCTCAAGCAAAAGAAGAAGATTGATCACTGCTTTAGGAAGGTCAGGAGGATGGTCAGCTATGCGCCAAAGATCACTGTTTATGTAGAGAAGTGCAAGATCAAGAAGCTGACAGGGGTGAAGATCAAGGAGCTCCTGATTTGGGTCACACTCAATGAGTTATCAGTCGATGATCCTCCCACCTGAAAGCTCACTGGCAAGATCCTTTCCGGGCTGTACCAGACTTATCCTACTTCTACCTTTGAGCTCGAGGATGACTTGAAAGAAATGGAGAAAAAGGCCGAAGTTTAGGAGAAGAACAATGTGACTTCCTCAGCCCAAACTTAGACACTAGAAGATGATAAAACCTTCTTGAAGGACATTTTAGAGGTTGGGTATGTGGAGGAAACTGTGTTCGTGTGGCTCAAACAAAAGAAGAAGATTGATCACTGCTTTAGGAAGGTCAGGAGGATGGTCAGCTATGCGCCAAAGATCACTGTTTATGTAGAGAAGTGCAAGATCAAGAAGCTGACAGGGGTGAAGATCAAGGAGCTCCTGATTTGGGTCACACTCGAGGAGTTATCAGTCGATGATCCTCCCACCTGAAAGCTCACTGGCAAGATCCTTTCCGGGCTGTACCAGACTTATCCTACTTCTACCTTTGAGCTCGAGGATGACTTGAAAGAAATGGAGAAAAAGGCCGAAGTTTAGGAGAAGAACAATGTGACTTCCTCAGCCCAAACTTAGACACTAGAAGATGATAAAACCTTCTTGTTTACGAGTTTGGAAACCAAATAAGATATTTTAGTGGTTAGGTTAGTCATTTTGAGGGCAATGTTTCTGTATTGTTCATTATTACGTAACCTTTATCTTCACATTTGGCCTTTGGTGCTAGCATACGTAATGCTTGTTACTTCTTCCTTCATCAACAATGGAAAGTTCAATAAATAGTATTGTAGTATTGCGTTCTTCTTTCCACAATCAAATAAGATCTATAATGGACAAATATGCACAAAATGAGGAAATAACTCCAATTTGTCCTAAGTAATCCTTATATTGGGATTTCCTTTCTTGGACTATAAGATGAATAGCTTACCCTCTACCTACTGTATATGAGAACTTATGAGTTTTCCCTCATTTATATATTCAGAGGTGAGGAACAATCTGCGAACTATGATCAACTCTCGTTGGCAACTACCTTAACGAGATCTCTTAAACATATTATACAGAGAACCTGATAAGCAAAAATTTATTTGTTCTAGACACCTGTAGGCATTAAAAATGCAAGAAACAAAAGAGTGACGAAGCTCGTCATTGAAAACGAAGCTCGTCACTGAAGACCAAGCTCGTCATTGGACACGAGGTTCGAAACTCGTCATTGAAGACAAAGCTCCTCTAGAAGATGAAGCACATTCAGAAGATGAAGTTCACCCGAAAACGAGGCTCTCAATGCCTTATCCTTCAGGAGACGAAGCTTCTTCAGAGGACGAAGTTTATTCAAGAACAAGGCTCGCCACGCAGTGAGGCTCGTCTCATCAAACGAACCTCGCCACGCAGTGAGGCTCGTCTAATGCAAGAAACAAAAGAGTGACGAAGCTCGTCATTGAAAACGAAGCTCGTCACTGAAGACCAAGCTCGTCATTGGACACGAGGTTCGAAACTCGTCATTGAAGACAAAGCTCCTCTAGAAGATGAAGCACATTCAGAAGATGAAGTTCACCCGAAAACGAGGCTCTCAATGCCTTATCCTTCAGGAGACGAAGCTTCTTCAGAGGACGAAGTTTATTCAAGAACAAGGCTCGCCACGCAGTGAGGCTCGTCTCATCAAACGAACCTCGCCACGCAGTGAGGCTCGTCTCATCGACGAACCTCGCCACCTAATGAGGCTCGTCTCATCAAATGAGGCTCGACGTTAAGAGGCTAACGGACATAAAGACTCAGTCAGCCCACGTGGGCTAAATCTAAGGAATCAGTTACGCTCCTAACCCATGATATCAGCGTCGGTTACGCGCTAAAAGCCTATAAATAGTCGTGAGCAGCTATGAAGGACACACAGACGCACACGCGGAAAGGGACACTCTTTTGGAGATCCGAGCATCAGATCTTGAAATCCAAAAATTAGACGCACAAGCGTCAATGGCCAATAACAGCCGCAAGCAGCTCAAGCACTTGAAAGAGGCTATTTTCTCCTCGAATTGAAACAATATTGTTCCGATCGTCAACGAGAAGTAAGCTCAACACGAGTATCGAGCGAGACATCTCATCGCCACATCGAGCCCACGTTAAACAAAGGAGAAGTCAAATCAATCTTCTCCTCTTCTGTACTAGAAAAAGAACGATTGTAAAAAGATTCTTACAAAGCGATAGAATCTACGCTTATGACTAAAACAGTTGACGAATCAGTCGTTTCGTCTTTTTCGGGACCCAACAACACCAAAGTAGTTGTATTTTCCATTAACTACACTAGTTAATAGTCATCTCCATACCAACATCGAGAAACAGATGACCTTAATCTTGGAATTACACCCGTGTTACACTTAAAACTTTCTCTCCATGCCTCCCAATTTGAGATTAACCACAGCAGAATCAAGGGTGAAGTTTGGCCATGCCATCTTGGGTGTTCAAAGGAAAATATACAAGTACAATCGCTTGTTACAGGATCAAGTCTATCATCAAATATTCATCTGAACTTGATTACATCCCTTCCTTGATAACAACGGCATATTAAGACGGTCCAACAGGTAGAACAAGATCATAAATCTAAGATAATAAGCGGCAAGAGTCCCATGGAGTAAGAAAATAAAAACTAAAATCCCATCAAGTGAGGTTGCCACACTCAGAAATTTCAATTCCTGATCGACAAGCATTTACTGTGGATCACTTTATCTATACACCAAAGACCTATCTCAAACCATACTCAGATCACATGGAGTTGACTTTAAGGTTGAGAAGCATTTTACTAAATATGAACATGGCAACAAGTCGATGATCAAAATATGTAAGACTTTCAAATATAGAGTAGGAAGCCTGTTCATGGTTCCCGTGTTATAATGAATGTTTAAGCCTGGTTTAAGCTTGGTTGCCTGCGAAGCATAAATGTTAATCTAGCTGTGCAAATAACAAGTGTTCTAAATATGAAAGCACGCAAAACTGATGAACACAGAGGTTAGAGTCAACACAGGTTTCAACAGTTCAAATATGTTTGTTTCTAAGAGTTATGTAAGCATGGGTACTGGTCGTTTCAACATAATAAATACAGGTAGCATGAACACATAACTTACCATCTCACCAGCAACCTTCCAAAAGTCACAGATCCAGTGGCTGTAAATGACCAACAATTTGGATGTCAATAGAAATTTTAAATCATTAAAGTATAACTAGAGAAGTAGAGCAGAATTTATCATTATTTGTCAATTTAACTCAAACAGAAAGCAAAGGTGCAAGTATGAAGCTTTAACCTAGCACATAGTGAAGGCATCCTTGTGAAGGTATGTACTGTAGCAGTTTTGCTACAGATATGTGTGCCAGGAGATGAATGAATGGATCAACAGATTTTTTTTAAAGCATGAGAAAGATGAGCCAACTAGCCCAAATATTAACTTATACCAACAGAGAGAAGGCACATGGAGAATAAGCAAATTTGAAGGCTGCGTTGAGGGTTGACGTTTCAGGATACATATTAGAGTACATACTGGTTTAGTTAGTGCAGTAGAATTAAGAAACTAATCATTCTTTATCTGTCTTGTATATCTGGCCATCTAAGTGGATGTATAAATACAAATCTTAAAGACTCAAAAGCATTTTTTAAAAAAATAAGCTGTCATTATCAGAAACCACAAGGATAAGGAATTAGAGGCATGACTTCGGAATCACACCTTGGGGAATGATGATGCTAGTGAGGCCAACAATCTATTTTCCGCAACTCCTGTATCAATGGGTTGCCTTATGAGAAGGTTATACTAATCCAACCTAAATTAATAGCTTATGTAGGTTTCTGCTATTCTTTTTGTCACAAAGATGCTTTGCAAGAAGGTCCCAGCATCCTCATATAGCAGTCCCTTCATTCATTTTCTTTACCAGCATATCCTCAGAAGATTGAAGACATGATCAACAATATGATTTTAATCTCATGCCAGTCTCTATTCCCTAACTGCATATCATCTCTCACAATCTGATGCCATGTCTGCATTTTATCACTCACATCAAACATTACAAGCCTTAGACTCATGATTATACCAGAACTAGACCATGATAAAGCAATCTCTGTCAGGACCGTCTTAGATCCTAACCATCACCAGTTTATTTTCTAACACATAATTTTTTTGTGAAACACAATTCAATAAAAAAATGGAAAAGTTGAAGATGAAGCAGATCAATCCAAATTTCATTTTGTTGAAGAAATCCTATATTATTACAAGTGGATTTGCTTTATTTTAGAAAGTTAAGTTTGTTTACAAATTCTACATTAGGATAGACTTAGCTGACGGGAATCACATGAAGAATGGCTTCTTAAGTTCTATACCAAAATGAGGAACAAAATTAGCGAGAATGCAAATCAATCCAACCTCCATTTCGGTGAGAAATCGTAGTTTGATTAGGAGAGGATCCCCTTTATTATAGAGAGTTCAACAGTGCATGCTCCCTCCACGCACGCTTGAACCCACACTCACTCTCCTATGTGTGTGTGTGTGTGTGTATATATATATATATATATATATATATATATATATAATAATATATATTATATATATAGATTAATGGGTGTCCTATGCCAAGGAGGGGATTTCCTCCTTGAAAATGATGTGCACAATCCCCCCATGTGAATAAAGTAGGAGAGAGAATATCACATGGTGGGGATGTGTGACACATCATTTTTCAAAGAGGAAATCCCCTCCTATGACAAGGATACCCATTAATCTCATATATATATATAATATATATATAATATATAATTATATATATATATATATGCATGAGGGCATATTTTGTGCATGTGCATGCGTGTGTGCATGGGTGCTTATGTGCACGCGAGCACGCGTGTAGAATTTGAATCTTAATTTAAGTAGAACAATGAATCCTTAGTTCTATGTCAATTTGGAGTATTTGGGGCTACAAACATACATAATGTCGTAATTGCACTATGATCTTTATATAGTACATCAATTGGATTTGAAAACTCCACGAAGTTTGCATGTTAGCTGCTTAAT